CAGCATAGCTCCTAGGATCATTGGGACACTCAAACCCCTCCACCACGATAAGGTAGCAGCCCAAGGAGAGGGTACTGGAAACAGAACATAGAAATCTGGGCAACATATGACCCCTCACAGTCTAAATATTACTGTTCATGTAAACAATCAACGTTTTGTTCACAGGTGAGCACTTTTTCAGTCTTAATTTTTTTGAAGACTGTTTTTTCTTGAAGAGTGAGCCTCCGTTATTCACTCCGTTGATGATATCCCAGACCCTGCAGACGAGACATGATGAGATGTTTTTCCTGAACATCCAGAAAAGTCAAATTCAAGTCTAAATCGACCGTAGAAGCCTTTGTTTTCATGTGCCTCAAAGAGCTTCATAATCTTTATATTTTTATCATTGCCAAACGTGATTCTTTGTTTCCATCTATCAGCGAGGGTGCAAAAGTTTTTAGCTTTTTTTTTTAAATAACCCACGCCACAGATCTTTATTTTTGCCTGAATAATTCAGTAAAAAAGGCAACTTTTATTCAAATAACTGAATCTAACCCAGTTAAATTCAGAAAACTATACCAATGCTATCAAACTGTACAAGCAGGAGTCTATAAGTTGATATCAGATATCAGTACAGTACATGCTGATTTTTTATTTACTTATTTTATTTCTTTATTTTTTTGATGAGAGCTCAAACGTCAAAATGATTTGTGTTTAACAATTAGTATTAGAAGCCTTCATCCTATAATGAACTGGGGAAGTGTGTGAACAAAATCAATTTCTGATAACAAAAGGTTATATACATTTTTTTTCTCTTTGTGGTTTTCCTTTTTCAGGGGTTTGTACAGTGAGTGAACTCACGTGAAGATTTGGCAATTGTTTACAGTCCAGTGGTTCCCAATCCTGGTCCTCAAGTACTCCTATCCAGCATGTTTTACTTGTTTTCCTGCTATTCAGCAGGTCTTCAGGAGATTTTTAATCACTCATTCATTCAAACAAGGTGTGTCAAAGCAGGGAAACATCTAAAAATCACTGTTTTAAATTTTGTTGACCAACACCAAGAGCTTCTCTGAACTTGATGAGACATTTTCAAAATATAATATTGACTCAGTTTAATGTTTTTTAGTATTGACTCTGGAAGTCATTGATTCTTCGCCATTTATTTATAAATAATAAATCAGATAACATGCATTAAAGCTGTGATTCTCAAACCTGGTCCTCAAGGACTCCTTTCCTGCATGTTTAGATGTTTCCCTGATTTGACACACCTGGTTTGAATGAATGAATGATTAACAACCTTCTGAAGACCTGCTGAATAGCAGGGAAACAAGTAAAACATGCTGGATAGGGGGACTTGAGGACCAGGGTTGGGAACCACTGGTACACCAAGTGCTCTTCCTGCCATAACCACCTAGCATAGCTGATTTGATTTATTGATTCAACAGGAAAAGATTACTAAAAATCAAGTCTGACTCAGCATAATTGCTGTTTTACAGCAGGTTCCCGTTCTGCAGCACATAAAACACTCAGAAATACAGCATCACAATCACATCATTATACACCATAGACACAAAGACAAACAAGCATACCAAATTTCAGGAAGGCAGCATTTGTAAAATAGGATGTCTAAATATGAGCACAACAGAAAGTGTCCAGCAGATGGCAGACAACATTCTTCTTGAAGGGCTGTAGTTTTGAAATGGACTTTATGTTTTGAGGAATGCTATTCCATGCTTTAGTATAAACATAGAAGAAAGACCTCTGGCCGTAACAGTTTTTAAAAGTTGGTAATATCAGTGGTCCWTTTGTAACAGATCTAGTTGAATGACCACTTCCAGAATTTGATTTGGACAATGCACAGAGAGTTCCATAAAGCTGCAAAATAAATTAGTTTAAACACAAAATTCCTGCGAGCGAAAGAAAGATGGATGGATGGATGGATAGATATACACCACTATTCATGTTGGATTTGATTCTGGGTTGACTCCTATTTGCTTGTGTAAAAAAAAAGGGCAAATGATTTGCACATTTTGTTTTTAGATTTTTTTTCCCCTGAATTATTCCATTGTGCATACTCCATAAGCTGTAGTTTTGTACAATTAAAACGTGAAAAATGCAAATACAGAAGGCAAAACAAAACTCAAATCACTTACCTCCGTTATCAGTGGTGCTCAATCCTGTTCTCACAGGCCTCTATCCTGCAGGTTGTAGGTTTGACACACCTGATTTGAATGAATTGCTGATTAACAAGCTTCTGTAGAACTTGAAGATGTGATGAAGAGCAGAGAAACAACTAAACCCTGTAGGATGGTGGTCCTCAAGGACCAGGGTTGGGTTTTAAAGGATCATTTAGTGTTTTTTTTCCTTCCCTACTTATACGTAGTTTAAAAAAACAGCATTTAGTCTGTCAGCAACACAATGATCAAATAGACATAAAATATTGTTGCTCATTTAATGAAGAACTGAGAACATTTGGATAGAAGTTTAGAGGGTTTAGATTTTTTTAAAATAAGAACATCATATTGTACTTCAGTACATAGAACAGGCTGTTCAGCTGGTGGATGACTT